GATCCAGAACATCTTGAGCACCAAACAGTACACACATTTGGATCATCCAACGATTCCAATTTTTACCGTCAAATACAGGAAGTTTGGTGTTCATGTTGCCGTTTCCGTTCATCTTCTACTTTGCACAATACACTCAGAGTTTTCTCACACAGTGTTTCCCAACCCACAGAATTAAAAAATTCTGATCAGATTTTGTTCAAGATTCAACAAGAATCTGAGAAACAAAATCAAACACACAAGACCTCACGTTCACTCGTGTTTCCCGTGTTTCCCAATGAATCTGAACCGGAGCTCTAGATACTAATTTGTTGGTGCAAAGATAGAATAAATGATGAAATAGGGAAATATTCTATTAAAGAGAATGACGGCTACAAAACATGATATTTGGTTACAATGATTGTCACCCTATTTATAAGCTAAAACTAGGGTTACTAGAATAAGATAAATACTAAAATACCCTCTAACAAACTTATGGGCTTAAGAAAGTAATATAATAAAATATGAATTATTACTAATAAAACACATAACTATTTTAGAAAAAAGTCCTCCACTTCACATATAAATTCTTAGATACTATGTGGAGAAAAAAATCTAGGTTACTTTATAAAAGAATTATTTTTTAAAATATCTGTACATTTTAATTTGTTAATAAAAGATAGATATTTTTATATGAATCGTTGTAATAGAAAAAATGTAAAATAGTAGTGAGACATCATATAATGCATTTTTAAAAATAACGAAAACAATGTTTGATATTTTCATCATTTCCCAAAAGAAAACATACAATTAAAGAAAATCACAATAAATGGAGCTTTAAGTACACCACCTAGAATGATTGTATAAATATCTAAAGTTTTCAAAACTATATTATTGGACTATAATAAAAATAATAAAAGAAAGTAATGTTAGAACTTAGATATCATATAAATTTATTAGTATTATTATAAGTTGAGAAAGGTATTTTTCATTTATTGGTATCATTTCCCAACCTAATACTAGCCAACCTATTCAACTAGTTAATGTATGATAACTGAAAGTTAACAGATTTTTATGCTTCTACGTTGTGGGACCACCACAAATATAGATTATGACTATTGCCATAAATGCTCGGCCACTTTTAAGATCTTAAAATAGCAAGTTTGCGTATTTAATGCATTTGAAAATTGAAATGATTAATTTTTTTATAAAATATTTTCTTATTTGAAAAACGAAGATTCATAAAACAAACTTTTATTATGTAACTGATGTTTACCTATTGTAATTTTAACTTATTGTCTGCAAATTCTTCTTCGATCGATAAAAAATTGATATTATTGTTGGAATCATGATAATCACGATTTTGTATGTGAATTTATGTTATTACGACTTAGTCTATATAAAAAAAACAAACAATAATTTTTAATGGAAAAATTGTTAGAACACACAGTTAATGTCCAACAAAATTGTAATTGTAAGATGAAAGAAATAGCACACACACACTCTAATATTTTGACGTCTTGAAAGACATCTTGGAGGGGAAGAAGAGAGAGAATATAGATGATTCTCATTGATTATTTTTCACATTACAAACTGTTATTTATATGTGTTATAAAATAACTTGCTAAGTAAGTCATCAATACACAAAGTAACTAACTAATTAACTTGTACACAAGACAGTTATGAATTGACATTCAACACTCCCCCTTAATTCATAACTATTGAACACTCATAACACCAAATTTCTTTCTCAAAAACTCAAATCTATCAAGCTTTAGAGCCTTTGTAAAACCATCTGCCAATTGCATTTCAGTTGGACAATATTGCACTTCAATCATTCCATTGTTCACTTGCTCTCTAATGAAATGAAACCTTTTATCGATGTGTTTACTTCTTCCATGTGAGATTGGATTTTTAGCAAGGCTAATAGCTGACTTGTTATCAATTCTGAGTATCAGAAGCTTTATCACTTCACACCTCAGTTCCTTCATCACTGAATCCAACCACATTGCTTGACAAGTTGCAAATGTTCCTGCAATATATTCTGCCTCACAAGATGAAAGTGCAGTCAAGGGTTATACAGGCTCCTTCCATATGTTGATTCTTTTTACTGTATACTGGCTCCTCTTCCCATTTCCACTTCTCAACCTCATTCACATTCACATCTCTACTGACATGTACCTTTTGAGTTAGAGGATTATACAGTTTATATGCACCTGTTGGATGATAGCTTATAAGTATCGCAATCTCACTCTTATCTTCAAGCTTGCTTCTTCTAACATCTGGTACATGTTTGTAGCACAAAGAGCAAAAAACCTTGAAATGCTTCACACTAGGCTTTCTTCCACACCAAGCTTCCTCTGGTACCTTCAAATTCAACTTCTTTGTAGGATGTTTATTCAAAATGTAAGCAGGTGTAATGACTACTTCACTCCAAAACTTGTGTGGTAGGTTTTTCTGCTTGATCATGCTGCTTGCCATATTCAGTAGAGTTTTACTCCTTCTCCCAGCAAGTCCATTATGCTGAGGTGTATAGGGAGCTGTTACCTCATGCATAATTCCTTGATTGAGACAAAAGACTTCAAATTCTTTTGAGGTGTATTCTCCTCTACCATCACTTCTCAAGATCTTAATAGATTTATCACTCTCCTTTTCTATTAAGATTTTGAATTTTTTGAATACATCTAAAGCCTCACTCTTAAGTTTGACTGTATACAGCCATATCATTCTTGTACATTCATCAACAAATGTGATGATGTATCTGCTTCCCCCTAATGAATATACTTCAAAAGGACCACATATATCAGAATGAACCACTCTTTTAGGTGCTTCAGAAACAAAGGAAAGCCTACTTTGCTTGCTCTTTACAAATACTTCACAAATGGATTTTCTGACATTCAATTTTGGCAAGCCATACACCAGTTCTTTAGAATTCAAATCACTAAGACTTCTAAAATTTAGGTGACCATACCTCTTGTGCCATAGATCTTCAACATATTCGCTCACTACTGCAGACAGGCACATCATCTTTTCACTTGAGATGTTGTATCTATATGTTCTATTCTTTGACATGTTTGATTTAAGCACCAAATTCTTATTTGCATCAAACAACTTTAAAGAGTCACCATCCATAGTCACTGAGAATCCTTTCTCCACCAGTTGGCCAATCCTCATGCGATTACTCTTCACCTCAGGAACATACATCACATCCTCAATACTGATTCTCTTGCCATCATTGCATCTGATCACTATATTTCCACTACCTTGAGCCACAAGATCTCTACTGTCAGCAAATTTGATGCTTGTTTTCTTGCTAGCATCAAAGCTTGTCAACCATTTTCTATGTAATGTCATATGATTTGAGCACCCAGAGTCAAGAAATCACTCTTCATTCTTCACATTTTCATCACTGGTAGTAGTCATCACCAACATTGCATTGAAATCATCTCCATGAGCCAAATTTTCTTATTCATCAGTCTTTTGACCTTTCTTGAACCAACATTCATCAGAAAAATGTCTATACTTCTCACAGTTGAAGCATTGCACCTTACTCTTGTCAAACTCCTTCTTCTTGTTTTGACATCTGCCAAAGCCTCCTCTCTTTGAAGATTCAGCCTTTTCTTCACTCTTGTTCTTTTCATTGTTGGACCAATTTGCTTTGCCTTTTCCCTTCTTGAAATTTTTCTGATTTCCCTCCTTCTTGGAAGTTTGAACTTGAAATACTTGTTGAACTGATCTCTCGGAACTTCTATCAAACACCAGGAGCGCATGTGCTTCCATTGTATTTTGCAACTCTTTAATTTTCATAGTTTTCACATCCTTTGCTTCTTAGATAGCTACGACAATGAAATCAAACTTTGGACTCAAAGATCTCAGAACCTTTTCTACTACCATTTGATTTGTAATATTCTCACCACAAGTTTGCATCTGATTAACAATGGCTGTTAAGTTTGAAAAGTGATCACTTACTTTTTGATCTTCTTCCATCTGCATCATCTCATACTTCCTTCTATGGGATTGTAGCTACACTTGCTTCACCTTTTCTCCACCAATGTGATAATTTTCTAAAATGTCCCATGCTTCTTTGGATCTTGTTGCCTTAGAAATCTTCTCAAAGTGTTGATTGTCAACATTCTGCTGAATGTAGAACAGAGCTTTGCAGTCTTTCTTCTTGGCTTCCTTGAAGCAGTTCTTTGTGCATCAGTTGGATTCGCCACCATATCCTCATAGCCATTTTGCACAATTTCACTCACTTCTTGCGCTCCAAATAAACGTTTCGTCAAAACACTCCAACGATCCCAATTCTTGCCATCAAGAACCAGAATATTTGATTCAAAACCATTGCTATTCATCTTGCCTATTAAGAAACTATCACTCAATGTTTCCCTTGGATTGAACCCCTCACTTTTCACTTGTGTTTTCCTTGGATTGTATCAGACTCTAGATGCCAATTGTTAGAACACACAGTTAATGCATAACAAGATTGTAATTGTAAGATGAAATAAATAGCGCGCACACACACAAGGACACTCTAATGTTTTGACATCTTAAAAGACATTTTGGAGGAGAAGAAGAGAGAGAATAGAGATGACTCTCATTGATTATTTTTCACATTACAAACTATTATTTATATGTGTTGCACAATGAGTTGCTAAACAAGTCATCAATACACAAAGTAAGTAAGTAACTAACTAACTTGTACACAAGACAAATATAGATTAACATTCAATAAAAATAAGACAAAAACCAATTTAATATACATGCTTAGCCATGTTGAAGAAACAATTAAATAATATTATTGACATCTTGCAGTACCAGAACCATATATGAATTGAAAGAGGGAGACGAGTAGGAGCTAATTACAATTACAATGAGAATCATATTTCACTATCCTCTCCCTTTTTCACCCATTGGAATAACACATATTAGTAAACATTTAATACACAAGGATCTCGCAAAAGCAAGAAAAGGTGAAATCCAGTCTGCAGATAGAAAAGGGGGGATTATGTTCTATGACTCAACATTTAGACGCTCTCTGATGATGCTGATGGTGATGGAACCTGATTCAAAACATCAAAATTGTGGACAGGTTTTGGTCTCCACTCCGTCCGGCCCCTCACAATCTCCACACCATCTTCCAGCCGAAGCAAGTGTTTGCATTCGACAAATCCACTGTCAGCTAAATTTCCAATGTCAGCATCAGTTACATCAGTCAGAGACTCAATTACACTGTTTCTCCCACATTCCTTTCTGTACTCCAAAGTCACTGAATGCAGCTCATGACTCTCCAAAATCGGCTGCGGAGCACTCTCCAGAATCCATCCAATGTACTTCACATTATTAACATGCTGATTAACATCTAGGTCATTCCATCTTGGACTTAAACCAGTACGAATATATTCAGCGGTATCATTAAGTTTCGTTAGCTTTCTGTTATCTTCATTCAGAACAGAAACAGAATTAACAAAGTGAGGCTCTATCTCTTCTTTCGCTTCTTCTGGAATTTTAGACAGCTTTCTTGTCAGCTTATTCATCATTACCCAAACACTGTAAAACATCAAAAACAGTGGTTAGTCACAATGCATACACATTCAGAAAAACAGTTTAAACATGTCTAATGGTAACCACAGAAGAAATCACTGAAAAAGCTTTTGAATTGACTTCTACCTGGATGCTCTTGTCATGATTTCACCTGTTTTGAGATCACGCACGAGCCAATCACGACGCATACCATTCTTTCCAGATGCAGAAACCCAAGTATCCACTTGAACAACATCCCCCCTAAAGAAAATACAGATTCACTCAAACTTCAGACAAACAAATACAAAATATTATGCTACAAAACTCTTGAGACCGTGGGATCCCGGAAAAGGATCGAATCCATTATCCATACCAAATCTGCTATATGAAGTCTTAGCAAGATAGAAATACAAATAGCAGCTGAACATGAACATCTATAAGCCCACAAAAATAAATTAAAAGGGCGAGTTCAGAGTGACTAACCACACTGGGTAACGATCAACCACAACATGCATTCGAGTTACAACCCATATCAGATTCTTTTTGCACATTTCTGGCGTAGAACCAAATCCATCACCAAGAAGCCCTATAGTCTTAACATGATTAAGCGCAGTTTCCTGTTATCAAAACAAACAAGAGAAAAGAATCACCAATCTGATATTCTTAGCATTGCAACACAATTAAAATCTCACCTGAACAACCATACATACCTGCAAATGATTCATTACCGTCTCTATAGACGCGGTTTTATCAGCCCCTATTTCATATGATCTAATTGGAAAATTTTGGCGAAACACAAAACCATCCTGCACAATTTTTCCTATACTAAAAGGATCAGCGAGCATATCAGGCCGTCTCGGCTTCCAATCAAGTGTGGTCCACTGCTTTTCAGCCGCAAGGAAAATCGTTGTAACGGCGGCAAGGAGCATGCTCCAATCAGGCAACTGATTGATGAATGTCCTTTGGTGATATTGTTGTGATGGTGAATCATTTTCAACCTTCGTAGCGTTTCCATTGGTTTTGGAAGGGGATGATGCATTTGCCTTGAGGCTTATTCCATCAGAGGTTTGTTTGGATTTGAATCCTCCGAGGCTAAAAGAATTACCTCCATTTTTGGAGGATTTTTCAACAATGTCAGATGATGAAGTAACAGGAAAAAACGATGATGCTGCAGCAGTTGCAACCATTTTTGAAATTTACACCTGCATGCAAAATGTTTGTTGATGTAGATCTGATTTAGAATCTAGAAAGAAAATAGAGAGGAATAAAACGCAGCGTTTGGTACCTTAAAGAAGGTGCAGAAAGAAAATGAATGCGTTTGGTACCTTAAAGAAGGTGCAGAAAGAAAATGAAAGAAAGAGACGAAAGAGGAGGAGAAGAGACTTGTTGAATTGCGAATAAACGCGAAAACAGCCTTTTTCCCGTCGTGGAAACAGTATTTCTGTTGTTTTGGAATTTGAATCCAAAAATTGTGGATTTTGTTTCTGTTAGTAGTAATTTTTGAATGTGGAAAGTATAAGAGAATAATAATAATAGTTTGTTTGTGTTAGAGGCAGCCAGCGATGTGAGTTGCACAGAATTGGCATCCAGGCAGTCCGTTATATACAATCCACCTGGCTATCCCGCCCGCCTTGCTTTTTAAGCTCTTAATTCAACTTCTCTCTCTTTTTTTTTTCTTTCTACTTTTTCTTTTTGATAAATTATTATTAAATTTCCTTTTTTGTCCACATAAAAAACTTCAATATTAAGTCAATACAAAATCATCTCACAACCGGTTTTATTTGAAATATTATAAAACATAATATTGCTAATAAAAAATGATAAAAGGATAAAATGAGTCAAAACAAAAGCATATAATTATTGTCTAATCTTAATTTAATTACCAATCCAAAATGGACATGTAGTATATATATTATATAGTTAATACTTAATATAAAATGAATATAATAATAATATAGAAAAATTAATAGAAAAATATTTAAAAAAAGCCAAAGTAAAAGTAAAGTGATATATATATATATATATATATATATATATATATATATATATATATATATATATATATATATATATATATATATATATATATATATAATTACAAAACATAATATATTAAAAAAATTATAGGAAAAAACAAAAAAAGAAAGAAAAAAAAAGAAGAAGTAGCAGTAAGAATATATGGCATAGCAGTAGTAAAATAAAAGAAAAGGAAAAATGATAACTTTGGACAAGCTTTTGATAAAGATCAACAAATCGAATTCGACAAGTTAATATATTGTTAGAATCAAAATTTTACAAAGAAATAAAAATATATACTACAAATTACAAAACATGTTACAAATTATATAAAAAAAATGCTGCAAAAGTGGAAGAAAAATCGATTAAAGAATGCATTAATTTGAATAAAATATGCATCGGAACGGAAACTAATTATATATTCATGATCAGCGTGAAAATTCGATTCAAATGGTATATGATTTTGCCCAAAACGGTTTAGGTATAATTTTGCTATTTTTTCAGTTTCGAGATAATTACGGTTTGTGTTGTGGTTTGATTATAACTCAATTTTGATACATGCTTTAGCTTAAATTACGATTATAACAAGCATACAACATTAATAGATTGAATAGGATAAAATATTACCAACAGAAGTGAAGCAAAATGTGAAATTCACTATTGCACACAAGGTGCTCAGTAAAATACCTCAACTAATTTCTCTACTTGTTCTTGTTTTTTTTTCTTTGCTACTCGAGATGTTGAATTGTTGTGAGGTCAATTATTGGAGGTTATAGGTATTGTTTGTTGTTTTGAAAATTCAAGGGGAGAGCTTTTTGTGTTCTATGTCAAAGTTGGGCTTTTTAGCTCAAATAAATGATTATTCTGATAAGCTATTTCATGCTCTATTTCTAAACTCTACACTAATGCAATGTCTGATTCAATGCTATGATAAACTATGTTAGAAATTCTAATGTTGATTCTAATGCACTTTTTTAGCTACTTGAAATTGGATTTTTTGGCTTAGGGTAAAAAGTGCTTATTAAATAATTTATTTTATAACAGTGGCTTAAATTAATCAACAAGAAGCATTCAACAACTCATGGCAATGGTATGAGAGAAAATAGATGAAGGATTACCGACAGAGGGGAGGTTTGTCTCGGTTATTGTTAAGAATCGGAGTAACCAAAGTAACTTAACCAAAGTAACCTTCTTTAATCCAATTAATTTTCAAACTTGATGATTATTTTTGATGATGAATGAATATATAAGATGAAATTGAATATAGAATATTTATAAATATGATTGAATCTTGTTGAACTTTGGATGATGATTGTTGATGATAATGTGTGAATTGTTGAAACTTTATTGATGATTTGTTGAAATTAGATTGTGGTTAAGTTCCACCAAATTTAGAACTTTAATGTGAAGTTCTTTATGATAATGAATATGAATTTTGGTGATGGTGAGGGAGTGAAGAAAAGAGATAATTATGAGAGAACATGAGGGAAAATAGTTCAAAGAGCTAATATAAGTTAACCCCAAAATTGTGAAAAATGACATTTTTATATAGGTTTTGTAAATGAATGAACACCGTTGGATTATGATCCAAGTAAGAGGGTTATCAATTGTGAAAAGTTAATTTATGCTTTAGTTGCGGATCACCAATTTCAACCCTTGGATTGATTGTTATGAATGATTAGAATTGAAACTTTGTGTTTGTTTGGAAATTATTTGTGTTAGTTTAGTAGTTATGGTAGTTAATAGTTAATTGTTTAATTGAATGATTCTGGATGCATAGGTAATTAGAGATAAATGGTGTTTCGTTTTTCCAAAAATACCAAGTTGGAATGTAAGGCAAATCATTATTAGTAATTATGCATGAAACTTGGAATTTCAAATGGTTTTATCTTTGATTTTTCTATCAAGTTTTGAATGATTGTTGAAAATAAGCACTTTTGAATGGTGTAAACTCATAAATCAAATTATGAATTTTTAGGCATGAATCAATGTTGGAGAGTGTTGAAAAAACAAGTATTGAAATCACTTTATAGTGCAAAAAATTTCTAAGTTTTCTTGAGTATTTTTATGATTTTTTGATGAATTAACTTCATGATATGAATGTCTAACTTTGTTTACCTTATTCCTTGTAGCAAAATGATCATTGTAATGGAAGAAAGAACTTGAAGCAACATTGGAAAGTGAAGAACAAGCCATGAAAGTGAAGTTTGATAGAAGATAGAATTAATATTTAACATGATCATATGACATAAGTCATTTTTCATGAATAATGATGAAGCCTTTGATCAAATGCTTGTAGAATAGGTCTAGAAAAATTTGGGAGTCAAAATCGAGTCAAAACAAAAGTCAACAGTTGACAAAAAAGTCAAATGTTTGACAAAAAAGTTAACTGACCCTAAATGATGTAGTTTTTTTTACCCGCTTTCATTGCAATTTATTCTTTTAATTTGTATATCAAGCAATATGCATTGTATCATGAATTTCCAATAAAAGAATGAAATCTTCTTTTTATTTTAACTTTGCCCTTTTCTTTGGATTCAAGCAAACTTCTGAATCAGGTAACAAACATTCCAGTCTCCTTGCTAACCATGAATCCCGGATAAAGAAATAATCTACACCACAAGTAATATGGAAATAAACCCGAATAATGACCAAATATTATCCACCTCGAAAATCTATTTAAACTAAATAAGTCCATTATTGCCGAACCATTGGCTTTGTAAGAAAGAATTGCGCCTAAGAGGGGGGGGGGGGGGGGGGGTGAATTAGGTTCTTTTGAAATTTTATGGTTTTAAGAGAGTTATGTTACTTTCTTTTTGCAGAGTGATGTTATGAAAGCTTGTAAAGGCAGAAAGTAAAAGAGACACAGAGAATTATAGTGGTTCCCCTCACACTCCGAGGGTACTACACTCCTATTTCAAATCGAGATTTCACTAAAGTTAGGATCAGTGTACAACTTTCTTTCTAACCTTTAGGAAGATCAAAGGCTCTTAAACAACTTTAAGATCTAAATACTAAGTGCAATAAGAACAATCCTCTCTAATGCACACACTTGCTTTCAACAATCCTGAACAACAAGGGGAAATACATACAATTCTGATTTTGTAAAGATTTGAAATAATGTATACAGATGTTTATCAATGCTGAGATTGATCTTCTCTTTCAATGGGAAATTCCACAAGTTTCTAAAATTTATTGCTCAAGAATTTTCTTTTCAAAAGATATGAAATTTTATGCAGAAAATTCTTAGTAAAAATTGATTTTTACTTAGATGTGGAAAGATGAAAAATATGTTAAAGAGTTTTCTTTTTGATTGAAAGAGTTGTTTTTGAAAAAGAAAGATTGAAGTATTTATATTACACAAATACCTCTTGGAAAAATCATGCAATTCTTCAGAAAAGTTGATGAACAGTTGTCATGTTTCAAAGGAAACATTCCACTGAAATTTGATTGAAGAGATGCAATTTTTCAGACAGATTTTTCAAAAACGTTCAGTGAGCAATCGATTGCACAAAGAGACCAATCGATTGCACCTTCACAATTTTACTTGAAAATTCAAATTTTCAGAAGAGAAATCGATTGCACCTTTGGACCAATCGATTGCACTTCAAAACAGAAGTGAAAAATTTGAAAAATTTAAGTATGCAATTGATTGCTCCAAAGCAGCAATCAATTACTTACTGAAACAGAAGCAAAAATGAGTTAGGAAAATGATCATGCAATCGATTGCTCCAAGAGTGCAATCGATTGCACTTATAAAAACTTAGAAAAGTTCTCATTTTAAAAGCTTGTGAAGTGTAAAAAGAATGTAAATAATCTTTTAATGTTTTGAGCAATTTAGGACTTAGATACTTTAATGGAAGTTCTCATTATACCTTCTGAGGAAAACATCCTTAAAGTTGTTGTTTGTCCTAATGCTTGTGTTTGACCATCTTTGCCTTCTTTAAGTGGTTTGTCTTCGTCAAAACATATGTTGATCTCTGAGAATCTTGATTTCACATTCTCCCCCTTTTTGATGATGACAAATCACTCTGCTTTTGTTGCAATGATCTTTCCAGCAAATTCTTTCTCCCCCCAATTTGTGAAGTTGATAAGTTTTTCTCCCCCTCAATGTGTGAAGTTGAGAAGTTCTGAATTTGTATTGAGGTCGAAATAGTCTTTGTATTTATAC